TTAATAAATAAAAAAATATTTTAATTACTGTACTATTATTTGTTAAGTAAATTTAGCCTACTTTTGCTAAAAGAGAAAATATGGACTATTGATAGTGCCTTGAATAATATCGGCTTCTTTCATTCATGTTATGGGTATTTTTATACAAAGGAAATTTTTTTGTGCCTGTTGAAAATTAAAGTTTACTGACATAGCCATAAAAAAATGTTGCTTTATTTATCTGACCGTATTGGAATGTATTTGTTAGGTTTTCAGTCAATTAAATTTGGTTCAATAAACAATATGTGGTCATTTTTAAAATTTTCAATGAACATTCGATCAGTCCGGCCCTCGGCTTGCAGCAAAATTTTTTATCTGGCCCTCCGTCCATTTGACTTTGACACCCCTGCCATACAGTATCATCAGTTGTCTACTTAATGGAGCGCATTACTTTGAAAGAAATCCTTCTGAGTTCCAGTTTTTAAAACATGGGAAATTTCTGAAACGTGAACCAAAATACACTTGCAATGTAGACCACAATAAAATGACAGTTGTTCACTTTTCAGAGCTTTCCTTCCCAGAAGGCATTTCTTCCAGCGGATATTTTTATTGAGATGGACACCAGAACGAAAGACCACAGTGGCCAGGGTTGAAAGGTTCTTGTTAAAGCTATGAGGAAAGGAAAAAAGGGCTCAGCGAGGCCTCGGGCTTGATTTATCAGGCCTGCCAAGGTCGAACCCCACCAAAGTGTCTCAATATACAGACCCCGTTGCCTGAGGCTGAGTTAGCATTGAGTCCCCCAATGAGTTGAATGGACATGTGAAAAGTAACCCAAGACAGAAGATCAAGTCGCTCTTTTTCCCCAACCTTTCAAATTTTTGTCATGATAATGTTTCTGCATACTGCTCTTTAAAAATTGGATCAATCGGACATACACTATTGAAAAAAATGTCCTAACCTTATGATAAAAAAAATAATTGTAAATGCAATGGTGTAGCATAGAACCAGATCAAGGCTATTCATGAATGTAACTCTAACCTTAAAAATTGCATCCATAGCAGCAAACAAATTACAAAGTGATCGTGTCTGTATTTCCAATCATGTATATATAAAGTAGATGCACATGAACATTTTTTTTTCTTCAGTAACTAAGTACAACTGTATTTATTGAATTGAAATTTTAGAACAATAACAAATATACTTCTATTTTATCATTATTTATCTTGATTTCAATGGCATAACAAATAAATTATGCAGTCAGATTTATTACGAATCTTCAGTGAAATTATTACTCTCCTTTTGTCATTTATTTTGTAACTGAGAATTTCTTTTTTTAGTTTTTATAACACCTTTGCTCTTTACCTTTCTCTCCTTTTTGTTTGTAGTGTATAACACTGGCATATTCAAAGTAAGTGAGTCAGTATTGATTGCAATTTCCTGGAGCCTTACAATGGCAGTCACATCAAGACAACATGATGATCATCATTTAATAGACAGATTATGCCCCAAGCAGGAGGCACATTGAGGTGACCAGAGACTGAAGGGGCAAAAACCATTATTGTGTGTTGACATTTTCATTTCTTTACACTTAGGCCTAATAGAACTCTGTCACGCTGAGTCACAGCACGTCCATACAGACAGATTTCTCATCAGAGCACTAATATAACATCAGCATTGCTCGCCACGACAACAGGAAAAATATATATTTTTTCTCCGATCATTCTATCTCTCAGTTTCTCTTACCGTAAAACCACGCAATACCGATAGCTTCAATAAGCACTCCAAACAGAATAGACGTCCCTGCGGCAAAGTGGTCCAACAGAGTAAAGACGTATATTCCACCCTACAGTGACAGAGAGAGACAGGGACAATGTCACTTATACTGAAATGATTACAGACACCAATGATTAATCAGCTTGAAGATCTCAGTTCCATAATTACTCATCTTCGCATTACATTGGATGATAAGAGTTTCCGAAAACATTTGCGGAGATATCGCCACACCCCTTGAGTAACACAGTCGTCTCGGTATGATACTTGCATTTGTAACACAGAAGAGGGAGATGAGGAAGGTGGCGGCCACAATGAAGAGGGTGAACAGCTCTCTGTGTTTGTGGAGGCATTTGAATTCATCAATCAGACCGGTAATGACAGACTCCATCCCACCCATCTAAAAGGTGCAGAAGAAGAGAATAGACACTAGAACTGTGTTTTACACTGCCGCTGCTCGAACACACTACCAAAATACTGGATATAAAAACATTTCTATGTCTAGCAGATATATATTTAACCTGCCCTGGTCAATTGCTTGATCATGCAGAATGGTGGATATTGGATGCATTTGATGGAATAGATTTTTTTCTGTGCATCAGGGGAGTTTATAATACAGCACGAGCCTTTTGTATTGTGATATTTGTTTGAAATGCAGTTGAACAGAACAATGTTAGGACAAAACCGGACAGGACTGAGTGGTGCGTGACAAGGGGAAATATTTAGCCAGCACTTCTCGTGCACTGCATTTAAAGGAAATTAAAAGAGTCATTTATATTGGCAGTAAATCAAATCTGCAGTCCTCATGCCCATAACGGCGCTAAATGCCTTTTTTTAAATGCGCCACACTGCACCCAACATCACCCCAAGCCAGTTCTGAGCACCTGTCTCGGAGCATGAGAGGCCCCCAACGAGCCAAAGGGCACCGGGGAACCCCACATCCACCAGGCAGGGTACAAAGGGCAGAGGGATTAAGAGGAGGCCTGCACGAGGAGTGACAGGGGGCTGCCCTATCCTCCAAGCCAGTGGCTGGAACAGGGCATCCCGAGGGGGGACTTGGCACCCCTCAGCACGAAGGAGCCAGGAGTGGATCTGACACTGGAGCGCAAATGGGAAATACGGGCACCACACCACCTGGGAGGAGGTGGAGGAGGAATGAAACCCGCACCCCAGAGGCCCATTCCATAAGTTCAGCGTCAAGATGATAGAAGCTGGAATATGTTACATAGTAGAACCTTGATTGAACAGACCGGGAACCAATGGATTCCGGGCTCCACTAACAGAAAATAGTGTCAAATCCACCCAAAAAGCCCCTTTGTATTATCCCTTTCCAAGTTAGTTCCAGAATTGGTTGCAATTATCCACTGTACCAGTAAAGGGCGCTGTGGCACCATCAAGAGGCAGAGTTTGGTCACCTTTTCCCGGCTTGTGCTTCTCACTCATCATAGGTAAACAGACTTTAGAGTAGAAAAGAGCAGGCTAAAAATCACATTCAAGTGGTGACTATGTTGGCAGAGGCAACTTTCCCAGCAAACCTATGTATGGACAGACATGGCGGTCATGTTAGCAGAGGAGAGGGTTCCTTCAATTATAATGGAATATAGACATTAGCTTAGCATCTGCTGCAGGCACGCAGTCAACTTAAATATAGATATTGTATGCATCTATTTATATAGTTGGCTGTTGATTTTTACAGTGCTGGGGCGAGTACTGTACGCATCTTTCTACCCCACTGTTTTTGGTCGAGTACATAGTTGTTATTTTTTTATTTTAATTTTCTTGTAAATCTATGGCAATTAATCATATTGGAGGTGAAAAAAGAAAGTGCTAACATGGTGGTGCATGGAAGCGACCAGATGCATGTCATTAACCTCCTGACCAACAACAAAAGTATGGATGAACGTTAAAACTTTTTAAACAATTTTGAGTTTTTTTTTTTTTTTTTAATATCTATTTATAAAAATATTGCACTGTACTGGGCGTTTTAGGCTACTCTAGTGTGAGTAATTAGACCTCACACACACACACACACACACACACACACACACACACACACACACACACACACACACACACACACGCGCACACACAAAAAAACGTTCCTCGATGTAACAGATATTCGGCTCTAATTGACAATTAGTTCATTCAAATGAGGTCCCACTGTATTTATCATATGAAAACTCGTAGCCATTGTAGACAAAACAAATGGAACATATCGAATTATGCTGTCAGATGTAGTTGTAAAGGAAAGTGCATACTCACGGCACTGTCAATGCCTAGTGTCAGGAGCATGATGAAGAAGATTACTGCCCACACTGATGACCCAGGCAATGTGGCAATGGCTTCTGGGTAAATAACAAATACCAATCCAACCCCTATAAGCAGAAATTTAAAAAAAACTTGTAAACAAATGAGTACCGCACTCTAAAGTAGCGATTAATTTAAAAATGTAGTTAACATCCAGAAAGTCAACATTACAGTGCAACGATGACGATGGTTGGGTCACAGGGATCTTTTTTTCCCCATTAAATCCAGTTCAAGTAGCTACAGTATATAGTGCCACTTTAACTGACTTATATTCACAATAGTGGGTACACAGTCACAGACTATTATGAGATCCAGTAGATGAGCAGTATCAAAGAGATGCAGTGGTGTAAAACTTTACTACAAAGTAAATTCAGATAGATTTGCGCGTTCATCCCTACTACTATTTCAAGAAGTTCAATTTTGTGCGAAAGAGTTTGTTGTGTACCGTATGTATTACACACACAAAAGGAGTAGTCTGAGGTGTCAGCACCGTGCACAGGTCTGATAATTGCAGACATTGTGGCAGCCACAGACTGCAACTTGAGTTCAATTCAGACAGATAATCAACACATCACCAAAGCACAGACTTAAAAGTACTGCTGCAAAATTATCACATGAGCTCAGTGGGTTTTATGTCTGCTTTGAGCAAGACACTGAACAAACCGATTTGGGAATTTTCACAATTACTCCAGTGAGTGAAACAATAAATATGGTGTATGGAAGGTTGCTGGGAAAGAGGGTATTTTCATTCGGGTTGCCTGCTTTACGGCATTTGTCATTTTAATTGTTTCCGAAAAACTTAATGCATCTGGTATTATATTAAACCTGTGGCCTTAAAGTCCATCCATTCATTTTCCGATCCGCTTATCCTCACAAGGGTCGCGGGGGTAGCTGGAGCATATGCTAGCTGTCTTCGGGCAGTAGGCGGGGGACACCCGGTTGCCAGCCAATCGCAGGGCACACACAGACAAACCACCATCTACGCTCACACTCACACCTAGGGACAATTTAGAGTGTTCAATCAGCCTGCCATGCATGTTTTTGGAATGTGGGAGGAAACCGGAGTACCCGGAGAAAACCCACACAGGCTCGGGAAGAACATGCAAAATCCACACAGGGAGGCCGGAACTGGAATTGAACCCGGTTCCTCTACACTGTGAGGTCGACGCGCTAATCACTGGACCACAGGGCCGGCGCCTTAAAATCTGTAATGAATAAATCTTTGGAGGAGATGGGGAAAAACAGACGCCACATCTCATACTAGCCAATCGATCCAACAGATCTGTTGAGGATGAGGATTGCCTATCCATGTGTACTGAAACTTGCAACTGTGCAAAAATACCAACGTTAATATGTTCCACAAAATGTTGCCATCAGTATTCATAAGTATTCAAGCTAAAGCACCTCTATGCAACTATCAGCAGGAGGATATATGACATTTTGACATGGAGAGCTCAAACAATTTGGTATTAACACCAACTACACACGCAGTTTAAGTTCTAAAGGCTGCTGTCTCAGTCCATTATTGTACATACACATATGATTTTGTTGTAAAACATCATGATAATATAGTGAAAGTTTTCGATGCTGAATGGATTATTAGCAACAATAATGAGGCTGAAGAGAGCACCTAGGTAAGCGACCTGTCGATTTGGTGGCTCAATGACATTTTGAACGTTACAAAAACATCTTTCCCCTTCTGAGGCATTTTTTTTCTTGAAAAAAATATCTAACCATAATACAAAAGTTTCTCATCAAAGCAAACCATGAATTTTGCGTAACATTGCAAGAGCAGCATACCATCTCTCGCGACCTTTTCCAGAGCCACGTTGTGCTTGTATGACATGTAGCCAAGGAAGGAGAAGACAACAAAGCCAGAGAAGAAGCTGGTCAAAGAGTTGATGGAGCTGGTGATGATGGCGTCCCTGCATCATTAAAACCAAATCAGATGAAGATTGAATATGAAAAGACAGAATGCAGAATTTATCATAATTAGTCCATTGTCACCGTCTTGATGCAACAGACCAATCGAGGCCTGTAGAATAAAGTATATTCTGCATAATGAATGGTTATATAATGTAAATTATATCCAATATTATTTGATGAGATGCATCAAAATGCTATAGCAATATCCAAGCACAGCATATTGAATTGTATCATACCAAAAAGCGGTATATGGCTTTGTGTCCAATCGTTAGGCCTTATAGTGATATGTATGTATCGTATCAGTCAAAGAGATGTAGCGTTACACGCCCAGTAAATATGCAAGTTGTTTAAATACCGGTAGATATATTGCTGATCCATTCGGTGATTTGTAGCATTTTTTTTCCAAACTTTCTGATTGCTGATCAAAACCAAAAACCCTTTTAGTCCTCTTTCGATGTCTCAAAAACACACGAGCCAGCGGCTAAATCAGTTTACCTGGCTCAGGCATACTGAGGAAGGCATGCACTGTTATTTATGCCAAAAGCACTGTGCCCCAACCCAGCAGGCAAATACTGCCTCCATTGTGGGACAGCCATCAACCAGCTGTAGGCTGGACGCATTCAAAAGACATGAGGTGACGGCCATTCACAAAGCAGCAGAAAAGACGAAGTATATTAAAGATGGTCGTACCTAAAAGCACTCAAACAATACAGTTACAATAACTAAAATAAAATAGTTTAGATAGTTTAAAAAAAATGTTTTTTCTTTTTTTTTTTACAGAAGACACTGGAGCGTGCTATTGCAGCACAGGTGGACATGGACCACAGTGTGCTCATAAATATATACAGTACTGTATATGAAAATAAATGAAAGGAAAAGGAGATGGGTCCTGTTAAAATATGATTCCTCTCTGTTAGCTGGATTTGAATGAAACAATGTAGAATGCTGTTGAAGGTATTTCCTGCTTACTGTGATTACAATCACCTTTGGTACCCCCTCACCACTACTACCCACTACTTTTATGACCCCTCCAGAGGACATGTCAACATCAAAAGAGGAACTGTTATCTCAAGTGTCTGTGTTGCAGCTATTGAGGGACTGCGCTTTGCTATGAGTACTATTGATCTCAGTCTCTTTCCTGAACATTTGTTTGCACACTTAAAACAACATATGTGGTGTTAAAGTTTATCTTCTTCCTCCTTGGTTGATTAACGGCCCCCCAAGTGTCTCTTCCGTTGTTCCCCCGCACCTTGGGTCGGTCCCTGATCGCTGTTAAGCCCCCCTGGGAAGACCTCTTATCTCAGGATGTATGCACAGCGGGGGTTCTGGAACTTGCTATCACACCAAATGGTGGGTAGTGGTGGTCTACCACACCACTCCCAACTTCTCCCAGCCACACCGGGTCAGATGTCATGTTACTTTCTTTGTTTCCGGGATTTGCATGAGAGGCGTACCTAACCGCCTCTCATTATCATATTGTCTCTATATAATCTCATGAATGTGTTTCTTCTACGCTTCCTGTTTCAAATCTGGACCCCTCAGGAGCCCAAATCGATTTGTAAACTGCAGAAATAAATTAAAAGCCTTTGAAGGAACTGTTCATCGCCTCCAGCCTTTATTTGGATTACCAACATTCTCCTTGTCCGAAATTCAACGAACACGCGGGGAAGAGGAGGCCGCTCTGACCCCAACAATCCTTATTTTATGTGTTTTCTGTTACAGAGCAAAGTGCTGAAAGACAAGGCGGGTTTTGAGGAGCTTCAAAGGGTGTTGCAACTCACCTGCTGCATTTTGTGTCTGATGCAACTCCTCACGCATGAGTCTCTTTACCTGTAGCAGTTGTTGCTGAATTTGTTGTAGCTGGAAAAGGCGATTAGCACACCAAACCCAACTCCCAGCGAGAAACAGATCTGCGTGGCGGCATCGATCCAAACCTGGGGGGGTGACAGAAAAGGTGTACTTGTGTGAAGCGGCAAACAAAAGGCACAAGAGAGGAAAAAAGCCATTATTTGGGATAATTGCAGGAAACTCATTCAACGGCAATAGATGAAAGACGCTTGTGAATACAGGGGTAATTTTGCAAATTACAGCACCATGCATCTATCTAACCTAATTCTCCAATTCCCCTCTCTCTCTCTCTCTCTCTCTCTCTCTCTCTCTCTCTCTCTCTCTCTCTCTCTCTCTCTCTCTCTCATAGCTATATTCCATTCTATATCTATTTTACTGTTGGCTCTTCTAGAAATACATTGAAGATGAAGAATTACCATTCAGTCAAATGTTACAACAAAGTATCAAAATATCAAAATCAGTGTTTGGATTATGCTGTATATTTTTTTCACCCCACTGCTCCTCTTCTCCTTTTACATCCAAATCTTTATCTGCACTCCTGTTTCCTGCAATCCACTTGGCTCTCACCTTGGCATCACAGAGTTTCAGGAAGTCGACAGAAAGGTAGGCCTTAATGCCATCCTTGGCTCCAGGCAGGGTGACTCCTCGGATGAGCAGCACAGTCAAGACCACATAGGGCATGGTGGCTGTGATCCACACAACCTGAGAGGGTCACAGAAGGCAAATACACACATGCACGCACAGAAACCTACTTAGAGTAGATGCACATTTTAGAGAAGATGGCGATACGAGAATTCAACTGCTATACATGCATTCAGGTTCAGTCAATGAAAAATATCCAGTTACGTCTTTACATACAATGTTTTCTCACATTATAACTATGCCATACAGTTTATGATTCACGTGGAGGGCCTTCAGGAGGATGTCATCCTTCTTTTCCAATGACCACATTAAAGAAATGAGAAATTTCAATTTCCAACCTTGCCAGACGTCTTGACACCCTTCCACAGACTGAAGTAAAGCAGAATAATGACCACACCGAGACAGGAAGTCAACTGCCAACGTGGACGACCCAGGTTATCAATTCCACTACTGTCTTGAATGTGGAGCACTCCTCGCCTATGGGAAAGAGAATTCTGGTGAAAATCAAGAGTACACGGTTTCACTTGAAATATCCGACATGATCAGATAAATATAAGGATTAAAGGATCTTGAGGAAACGCTGTCAAAACAATGTATTATAGTTGAACAAATACCCTGAGGGTGTGCATCTATAGGAAACAATTCTACGAAATAAAATGAGGCATGTCCACGAGCTCTGTATTTAAAAAAAATGACAGGTGATATTAACGCAGTGATCTAGATTATTCCGGAGTGGTTCTGACAGGTGACACGAAATGCAGTCAAATTGTCTGGTGGTGGTACACTGTAAATAGCACACTGTCATTCCAGCTGTGCTTGGTGAAAAGCTTGAACTGTCACAACAAAACAACCCATTTGCTCACAAGAATACAAGACACCTGGCTAGCACCTGGTTGCAGGGTTGCCAAATGAAAACCGATGCAATAAGAATGTGAATGACAAACCATATTTTCAACAGAAATATTAGGGACATTTCAGCATGGTGTACAGTCCAAACTGAACAACAATACAAAATCCAATATAATTAAAATAATACCTGCATGACAATGTCAATGAAAAAAATGACCATTATGACTTTGGGAAGCGATCTCATTATCGTGTCCAGTCAGTAGTAGTTAATATCTGACTCCATCATTCAACATAATTTAAAAAAATAAATCTCTTTATCTTGAACAAGATATTAGTTCCCCAGTTGCTCCCGATGCTGCGTCATCAGCAGATGAACAAGGAGTCAGTGTTGAAGCACGTTGGTGCCTTGGAGGTAGAAAAGCACTTTACAAGTGAAAGCCCAAGCTCATTTAAAATAAGGGTTAACTGCAACCTAAGATAAAATAAAAACATTCCTGAAGCATTATATGGATCAAATTTAGTATATAACATTTGAGTCTTGACCATTAAAGCTGGAGTTGAATAGTCTTAAAGCTGCTCTAAAATTTTGCGTGAAGCCCTCCCCGCTCCCGGGGCCAAACCCCACACACCCCACATCTCTGCACAAAGAAACACTTGCTGCTCACTAACGCACCTGTAAGACGGGACGCCATGGCTGCTACTTTGTAGCGTGACTTAGTCATAATGGAGTATTACAGTTTTAATATATAAAGCTGTTTTGTTTATTTTGTCACTGCAAACGCCAACCTTTAGGCTAAACAGCATTTATTATAGTGTAATACAGTATACACTGTCTCACATAGATAAAGAGTGAAGCTGAGCCAACTTACTCAAAGTACTCTTGAGCTGGAGTGGCCTTGTAAATGTCACTGATTGTGCTGTCATCAGCCCAATCGGAGCAATTTGGGCTGTTCCAAGTGTTGTTGCAGTGCACCCAGGGGAGCTCGGCAGTGAACGAGGAGAAGAGGTAGAAGAGAGCCCAAGAGATGATGACATTATAGTAGAAGCCAACATAGAGGGAAATGAGGATCACCGTAAATCCTACACCTGTGAGACAAAAGCAGTCATTCATCATTTAAAGTAAACATGATGTTTTGTGAAAGTGGAAAAAAAAAGCGTATGTAATTGTCGTGGCTTTTCCTTAAATGCGTATAAATGTTTTTAATGTAATGCTATCGTTTCGTATTCTTTATTGAATAAATTATTAGCGGTAAGAGTTATAGTATTTATTTAAGATAATAATGATCAAAATAATTGTAGTTAATTACATTGCCCAATAAAAATTATAGTGGGATAGTTTAGAAAACCTCGAGTTTCCTTTCAGAATCACAATTTTCTATGAAATGTGGAACTTCAATTAACATGCTCATACAAAATAAATCTGGATTTCCCCCAGCCCCCAAAATGTTATTTACTGGTTTTATTCCCCCTCCCCCTCGTAATGTTCCAAAAATGAGTATGCACCAACAAAAGTTTCGCAAAGCCAAATTGTAAATCATAAGAGTTGTGCAGGCAAATGACGCCTTTTATTTGCGCCACAAGCGGCTGCACTGTGCTTCCATTTCCGCTGGCTCTCATCCTCCACCCCTTTTCTTCACATGCATTGATCTTGGGGGGAACCAAGCTTGTTGATCAGAATAATTACTGCCAATATGGGCATGTGAATGTATGTATTTGAATAATTACTGTGATCCCCCCACTGAGAGGCAGAGAATGACAGTGTGCGAAGTGTGTGATTAGGACGTAAATGTCTTCTGTGGAACCCTGACAGACAGTACATGTTCGCAGACAGGAGGCCCACGCTTGCACGCACACGCGCACGAGCACACGCGCGCACACACACACACACACACACACACACGGGGTTTAAACACAACTATGAGGCACCTTCAGCGTGTCAAGGACATTATTGGACAAAGGATGAATGTCTCGTGGCATGCTGAGAAGCAACAGATGGTCTTGGTGATGTCAATATATTTACATGTAGTCAGACCGTGTGTGTGTGTGTGTATATATATATATATATATATATATATAGTGTGAGACAAAGAGAGAAAGCGAGAGCATATACTTATACAAAATAGATACAACAAACCAAAGGAAAAAAAAATGTGGAAAAAAAAGGAAAAAAGAAAAAGAACGAAATAAAAAAAAAAAAATAACTATCCCGACAGATTGCATCTTATGCCATGCTCATTGTTGTTTTGAAAAGCACCTGCAGAAATTGTTAGCCAATCTTTGGCAAAAGCATTCGGACAATGAGGACAACAGTCTAAAAGCCTAATTTTCATTTGTTTTCCACCTGAGTGCAATAAGAATCTGATGTTCTGGGAGGATAAACAATGCCTGTCGACGCTTGACACAGACGAGTGAACAAAAGGAGGACTGGCATGTAAATGGGCAGGCAAGTGGGTAGGCAAGCAGACACATGGAGGTGCCGGTATTGATGGGAAGTCAACTAGTTGACAGTCTAGTGGGAAGGTAGATAGACACATAGACTGACTTTGATGTAGCAAGCGCATCACCCATCAAAAACATGTGCACGTTTGGATACTGACATTAGGTAACACTTACATAATCAATTGAGGTCCAATACAATAGTAGTAGTATTTTTTTAATAGTAATAGTTCAATGGGTTAGCTTGCTATTTGAATCATGTTGCTCAGTGAAGGTCAGCCATGTCCTCATGAACCCAAAATCGGCAACCTGTCATTGTCCACCCTGTCCGCAAGCACACAGATTTTTCTGTCTGCTTGTTTAAAAACTGTGGAAGCCTGGCAAATGTGCAATTGTAACGGCACAACATCTACGTAATACAATAAATATGGAGTTTAATGGAAATTTTCCATTTTAAGGGCTGCAGATAGAGAAGTATCAAAAGCATTGGAACGGCAAGATCAATTTCTTGGTTTTTGTTGTATACCGAAGACATTTGGCATGTGCTGAAAAAGAAAGAAACTTCTGGTGTACTGAGCAACTGAAATCAAAATGGTTGGCCAAGGGCAGTTGTGGCCAACGCCCAAAGACAGCAGTCTTTGACATCACTGCCAACCTCCACAGGGCAGGGGTAACGTTATGACAATCTGATGTCCAAAGAAGACTTTGAGGGAAGAAATATACAAGCCATACAACAAGATGCAAACCACTAAAGAGCAAAAAGAAACAGAGGCCAGATTCGATTTTGCAAAGTGTAAATGAATGAATGGGAAAAATTGGGAGGTTTTAGACTGGCCAAGTCAGTCATCGGACCTTAACCCAATAGATCATGCATTTCAACTCCTGAAGAGGAGACTGAAAGACAAAAGACCCAAAAACAATCAATTGTTCATTTTGTACCATCAAAGAAGAAAGTAGTCAGTCAGAAACTCTATATACTTTTCAGGGTTTATTTTCACATACTTTGGGACCTGAAAGGAGCCAACCAGCTGTCTCCTCATGATTCTGACTCCAAACATGACTCTGTGACCTCCCTGTTGACATTGGAGCCTTGGTGGGACATGGTGGCCATCCAACAACCATAAAATATTCGATTCATCTTGACCACCCGGGGTTGCACAGCACTAATCAGTGAACAATAGCGTGCTGCAAGGAATACCACTGCATAATTGGTAGTTATGGGCATAAAAGAGGAGAAAATCATGGTGTGAGCCCCCCGACCACAACACCGCTCAGAATCTTTGGAGCATCCTCAAGCAAAGATCTATGAGAATGGAAAGCAGTTTATATCCAAACAGCGGCTTCAAGGAGCTATTCTGATATCCTGCAAATAAACTCAAGCGGCCAATCTGCAAACACTCACAAGATCAAAGGATGCAAAAATCGCAAAGCTGCTCTCAAATAAGAGGTCCTATGTCCAACTTCACCTCGTAAAATGGTTTAGATTGGAATAGCGAATACTACCTAAAATTATTATAATAGAAGATGACTTCAAAATTATGCTGAGTGCCATTTGCATTGACTACAGTCCTCATAAAAATAAGTGCTGGCATAGACAGACAGACAGACAGATAGACAGACAGACAGACAGACATCGCTCTCTTGGATTATAACTGCAATTTTTTTTTTAAATGAATAGATTTATTTTTCTTTTTACTACAGTCCTGTGAATTAAATCTATGTCAGTATGATTCATCTTGTTAAAGTCATCATGTTGAGAGTGTTAAAAATGAGCATTTTCGTGAGAAAATTCAACCAAATATCATCAGCTTTTGATATATGTGTATTGGATGCTGGGGTTACAAATGTGTCTGCGTGCATGTGCCTTGACGTCATACCTTTAAATATGGGACATATTTTCCAGACCCCAGCGGCTCCCTCCCTGTTGTACTGTCCCAGAGCCAGCTCCATGTAAAAGAGAGGCATGCCTGCTATCACCATAAAGAACAGGTATGGCACCAAGAAAGCACCTGTACACACACACAGACATGTTTCAGTTTTATTTCCTAAACAGGCATGTCAATGATGAATGTTTCGCAGCACTGAGCAACCTTTAGAACAGGGTGTGAGCCTCGGCGATGGCTACAGCTTTTAAACCTAATGAGAGCTCTATGTTAAACAGCCATAATTAGTGACCATAATTGTTGGAGCTAATCTATTCAGAGCAGCTGTGGTTGCTTTTTTATCTGTATTTTGATCTCTTGAAAGGGTTGAAAGAATTGCGGAAAAGGAACAGGAGATGATACACACCTCTTACACCCCTACCAAAATAAGAAAGTCTTAATTCAAGCATGTGAAATTTCCAACTTCATTTCTCCTTTTCCAAATCTCTGTCAATAAAACTAGAAATGTAAACAGTGTCACCCCTCCATTTCTACCTCCACTATTTGAACAGAGGAACCTGATTTTCTGTCACACCACCCATTCCTCCCCTCCCCGCCCCAAGTACATCCATTTTACCAAACTCATCCATCGGCTTGAAACTCACCTCCTCCATTTTTGTAGCAGAGGTAAGGGAACCTCCAGACATTGGCGAGATCCACTGCAAATCCGATCACCGATAGCAGGAAGTCAATTTTCTTTCCCCAGGTTTCCCTTTCCTCCTCACCGCTGGGGTGGGTCTGAGTCGTGGTCGGAGCCACGAGGGTGGTGGAGGTGAACTGGACCCCATTCTGCTCCTTCACAAGGATCAGCTCCACCTGGAGGGTTACAGTCATGAGTTACTACGTCTGACAACGCTGTTGTCATTTCAACATGATCATGTTTTAGTTCATGATTATGGAATATCATGTTTAATCATAAAGGAGGGGAATATTCATATCAAGCCAGCCACAACATGAGATACAGACATTATGTACAATATCCAAAACACTATAGGTCAAAATTAATCATTGACAAAGATGGTCATGCTTATTTTTCATTGACTTTGATTTGCTGCTGTGATATGCACTGGTGTGGAACGACACTAAAAACACTGAGGACTGTTCCACTTTTCGTCTTGGTTAAAGAAACCAACATATCAAAACGATCTCTCAGTGTACCGCGGTGCAGTTCGGCGCCACCTCACCTTTTTGAGCGGATCAATAAAAAAACTCAACTTACTTTACTCATTCATTCATTCATTCATTCATTCATTCATTTTCCGATCCGCTTATCCTCACAAGGGTCGCAGGGGGTGCTGGAGCCTATCCCAGCTGTCTTCGGGAAGTAGGCAGGGTACACCCTGAACCGGTTTCCAGCCAATCGCAGGGCACACAGAGACGAACAACGATCCACGCTCACACACACACCTAGGGACAATTTTGAGTGTTCAATCAGCCTGTCATGCATGTTTTTGGAATGCGTGAGGAAATCGAAGTACCAGGAGAAAACCCACGCAGGCACGGGGAGAACATGCAAACTCCACACAGGGAAGCTGGAGCTTGAATTGAACCCCGTACCTCTGCACTGTGAGGTTGACGCTCTAACCACTGGACCACTGGGCTGCCAAACTTACTTTACTGTTATATCATATTTTGGTACAACTATAACAATGTAATTAGATTGTATAATTGTGTTAATATCAAGTATAATGTGAAATCAAAGTAGGAAAACACTTTACATTCTCTCACTTTCGACACAGCAATAACGGTTAGCTCTTCATGAACAACGATCATGGAAACATTTCTATTGCAATATTGCACTCATTTTATATGACACACATGCTGTATATCGGCACTGACCTCTTTGGGACCCGTAGCATTGGAAGGGTTTTTTTCTGGGGCTACGACTGATGACATCAGGCAAATCGGGACTCTATCCTTCAGCATGGAGCGGTACTCAGCTTTCGGTAAAGGCAAATAACCCTGATTATGAAAGACGGAGGTGGATGAATGTAGAAGAGAATGTAAGCAATACAACCTAACTATATCACTATTTTAAAAATTAAAAATGAAAACCCCCAGATGAACAAAATACCTCCATCCATTTCACCTGTTTTCATTCGGGTCACAGCTATGCTGGAGCCTATCCCAATGGAATTTTGGGCAGGACGTGGGCTAAACCCTGGACTGGTTGCCACTCAATCACAAGGCAATAAGAAACATATCACATTCACACCAAGGGACAAAGTGTTGACTGAACCTAATGTGCATGTTTTGGGATTGTGGGAGGAAGCTGGAGTACCAGTGAACATCCATGCAAGCAGGAGGGAGACCATGCAAACTCCACACAGGAAGGCCAACGTCGAGAAACACTTAACCCAAGAACTATGTGGCAGTTGTGCTGACAAATACCCCAACAGCACACGTGTTATACGCTGGGCATAATTATACTGGTGTTAAATTGTTAAATGCCATGTATTTTGTTACTTTGTTCCTGACTTTGCATACAAAGAGATTAAGGGGAGCATGGCAAAAAAGCAACAGGGAGTGATGTAGAAAAAGACATGCATGGGAGGGTGTGAGGGTACGTCTGTACAAGGCCATTGCTGCGCGCTCATTACATTTCACACTTGTTGATCGCCATTTTGATAATAACTAACCTCAATAAGCCTCGCACATCAGTTACCTTTTAAATCGAGAATTCATCTTTGCTTCAATAAAATATTAGCTGTATCATGGATTATAAAATATAATATTGCAGGGATTATCACCAGTCTTAATCCCCAAATACATATTTTTTTCTTTCATGAAGAATAAAAGAAAGAAAAAATGGAATACATAGAGTAAAGTTTTAGTTTCCCTCAGGAAATAAAAATAAGAATAGGAAAACCTTTGTCTCACAATGGAGAAATTCGCAATCATTTGTAATGTTTTTTTTTTTTTTCGTAAAACATTGTTTGACATTTCATTATTATAACAAAAACAACCGTTCAATTACAAATGCAATTCACTAGAAATAAATTAACTAATTTGACATTCGCTGCAAACCATTGGACACATTTGATTATTATACTATATAGTATACATATATACGCAAACAAGGTCATTCTCGCTTGGTACAAAACTCACCGTTCACCAGAATCAAGTGAAACGCTCCCTCAGTTGACAATTTGGGTCTGTCAACTTCCAGTTGTGTTGAGGTTCCTCACTTGGCTACAAAATAATTAGCGGCATATTTACTTCATATGTTACAATTTAGAAACTAGGCCAAATGAAAAAAAAATACTGCAAAAATCATCGTGATAGATAAGGGTAAAGACAGAAAAAGATAAAAAGAAGTGCTCGTCAATGATGATGTGGCAGCTTCTTTGGCTACCAGAAGACCGTATGGTCTGCTGTGGGGATCTGTCTGCAGGACCACTCTTGAAATATGAGGAACAATCAACAACCCCCCCCCCCCCAAACCCCTGACCCCTCCCTCCTCCCATCCTCACCATGCCTTTGTCTTGTCCTCCTCTTCATGATCCAAGTCAGTGTAAATTTCCTCTCTGATGAAAACCATCCTTTCTCTCTGGAAACCGAGAATGTTAAAACAGAACATTTTCACAATTATTTTATGTTGAATATGTAATTCTAGAACTGTTGGGCAGATTCCACCCCCCACAAAAGATTTATAAACAAAATCAATTTCCATAAATTTAATTGAATATGTTGTTGATGTTGATAGTTAGCAAACTATGGTTAGCAAAATGTCTTGAGCACCTTGACAGATGTGCAAGTTACCCAAGCCACAGGCAGCAACAGTCAAACACCCAAATACCATCACAGATGCTGGGTTTTTAACTGTGCGCTGATAAACAAGCCGGATGGTCATTTTCCTCTTCGTCCCGGATCACACAGCGTTCACGATTTCCAAAAACAATTTGAAAGGTGGACTCACCAGAACACAGCACACTTATTTTGCGCCCAGAGAAGTCAGTGGCGTTTCTGGCCGTTCTTGATCGAAAGCTTTCCGCTTTGCACGGTACAGTTTTAATTTGCATTTGTGTAGGTCGGGACAAACAGATTTTTTTCGGAAGCTTTTTTGAGCCCACGTGGCAATAATGATGCTGCTTTTAATGCAGTGCCGCTTGAGGGATAGAAGATGCCAGGTTTAATGATGATTTTCGGCTTTGACGGTTATTTGCAGAGATTTCTCCACATTCTTCAGATCTTTTGATGAGATTATGAAGCAACATTTCTAAATGCTGTGAAACTGTATGTTGACAATTTTTTCTCAATTTGCTCATGCAGTTGATCGATATGTGGCGACTCTCACCCCAGCTTTGCTTCGGAACAACTGAGCCTTTCGAGTTTGCTCCTTCATGCAAACGTGACACTCATCGGTTTCCAGTTAAGCTGTTAAACCTGTGGTATGTTCCAAACAGGTGTTTTTGAGCATTCCTTAACTTTCCCAGTTATTTGCTGCCCCTGTCCTTTCTTTACAACAAGTTTGCAAAAAACTATGACTTATCAATTTGAACATTAAATATCTTGTCTTTGTTGCGCATCCAATTGAAAATAATTGTATTGCTTTTATTTATTGTTTACATGACGTTCCAGCTTCACTGTAATTGGGGGTTGTAACTATGACACAGCTACCTAGCTTGCTGCCTACAGATATCTTCAGATAGATATCAATGTCCAGCTGACCTACAGAGTCCGTTCCAACACCTTGACCTCACCCGTTTCTGGTTAAAGCGTAACAAGACAGAAGCACCAAATAACACAATCAGCCAGCTCCCCACGGACAGATTTATGATCTTTATACTAATGAATGACAGCCTGTTGCTTGCAAGCCACTCACGATGATTAATCAGCCACTAAACAGCCACTAAAGCACCTACACGCCCTCAAAGTACAATCATCCATCAAGCCTCATATCAGAAATCATTGGGTCGATGTTACCTGTGGTGGGTGTATGAGTTTTCTTCCCCAACGGTTCAGACAACAACTATAATCGAGTGGGTTGCTTTCATAAATGCAACAGCTGTGACCCAGAGAGAGGAAGGGCAGAGGAGGAGGAAAAGAGCAAGACATGCAGGGAAGGGAGAAGGACACGAGAAATGGCAGGTGAAATGAGGCAGGAAGTTAAGTGTTTTTCCATTTTATCACGGAGAATCATAGATATTACAAATACTGCCAATGGTCTACTCAGAAAGCATACACATTGAAGTGCTGAATATAGAATGTTTAGTAGCGGAGATAAATTCTTCCTGTGTTTTTTTTTTTTCTACCCCATGACGTATTTGATACACAATTGAGATGATGTGTGTAAAATGTGGAGACAACAGTAAGGAATGGGGACACATTCTTTGTCTATTGAGGACAGTGCCACCATTTCTAAACAATTGCAAACATTGCCCCAAAACACCAACTTCCAGATTACCTGCTGAGAAACCCAGTGGGGGTTCTTGTATTTAATGAATACTCACATTGCTGTTATTGCAAACCCAATACCAATGAAGTCGGGATGTTGTGTTGAATGTAAATAGAAACGGAATACAATGATTTGCAAATCATATTCATCTTATATTTAAAGACAAGATACTTTGTTTTTAGTAAATAATCGTGAATTGAGAATTTTATGGCTGCAACACGTTTCAAAAAAAGCTGGGACGGGGTCATATTTAATGCTCTGTTACGTCACCATTTCTTTTCACAACACTCAAACGTTTGTGAACTGTGGACACCAATTGTTGAAGCTTTGGAATTCTTTGCCATTCTTGCTTGATGTGCAACGTCTCCCATGTGGTATTTTACGCTTGATAATGTGGCACACGTGCAAAATCTGGTTTGGCACTGTCTTGCTGAAATAAGCAAGGGCATCCCTGAAAAAGATGTTGCTTGGATGGCAGCATATGTTTCTTCAAAACTTGTATGTACTTTTCAGCATTCATGGTGCCTTCACAGATGTGTAAGAAACCCATGCCAGCGGCACCAAGACAGCCTCATACCATCACAGATGCTTGGGTTCTTTTCCTCTTTGGCCCGAAAGACAAGGCCTCCACAATTTCAAAAAACAATTTGAAGATGAAAGACCCCTTTTCCACTTTGCATCAATCCATCTTAGATGAGCTCAGGCTCAGAGAATCTGGCGGCATTTCTGGATGTTGTTGATCAATGGCTTTTGTTTTACATAGTAAAGCTTTAAGTTGCACTTATGGATGTAGCACCAAACTGGATCTACGTTGGTTTTCTGGTGTTTCTGAGCCCGTGTGGTGATGTCCTTTTCACACTGATGTCGGTTTTTGATTCAGTGCCGCCTGAGAGATCGAAGGTCATGAGCATTCAATGATGTTTTGGGGCCTAGCAGTTTACATGCATTGATTTCTTCAGATTCTCTGAACTTTTGATGATATACTGTATTGGACACAGATGATGAAATCCCAGAAATTCCTTACCATTGTATGTTGAGTAACACCATCCTTAAACTGTTCGTCTGTTTTCTCACAGTTGTTCACAAAGAAGTGAACTTCGCCCCCTCTTTGCTTGTGAATGACTAAGCGATTCAGGTGCAGCTCCTTTTATACCCAATCATGGCGCCCACCTGTTCCCAGTTAGCCTGTTCACCTGTGGGACGTTCCAAGCAGGCGTTCGATGAGCATTTAACTATCTCAGTCTTTTTTGCCCCCTATTCAACTTTATCTGGAAAATGGTGCAGCCACAACATTCTAAAAAAAAAAACCCTTTTCGAATATTTGTACTTTTATACGCAGCCCCTAAGGGGACATGGAAGGAAAAAAAAACTTTGCGAGATCTCGCTCCGTACTTTTAGGAGAAAAAAAGTCGTGTTTTTTCCAGTTTCCATCCGTTTCCACGCAAAGGCCGTTCGTGAGCAGATATCTAAACTTTGTCTTTCTGTCTGGTAAATTTATGTTTGGAGGAATTTGTGAAGGATAATAAAATGTTCAATTTCATTTTAACACAGTTCGGTTTTTTTTAACACAAGACACCACCTGCTGACCAAAGTGAGGAGTGACAATTATGTAGTCATCTTTCACAGGCAGGTTTATAAAAACTCAATAGGGATGATGAATGCAGGAATGCTAATCAACATCCAATTTGGTTAAGAAATTCTGGATTAAATTCACTAACCAAGAAATAAAGGTTATTTACATCAATAATGCATTTGCAAACCCAGCGTTTAACACTGCAGTCAAATATGTTGTCCGTATACAGTACGGAAAAAAAACAGCAGACAGGAAACGTTTTATTTGTAAAGGTTACATTTTATTCAATCTCAAAAGCGTTACAATTCCGCATTGAAAGTGAAGTATTTTGGTACTCGTCAGAAATAGTACAATGTATTGATTTGGAGAGTCAGTCTCAGAGGTCTTGACTGCCAGAACGACGCTGCTCTCGGCTCTAACACCAGACGATCATTCATCATCTGTCCTGACACGAAATCCATGTTGTTTGCATTTACTGTACATCCATCGGTAACAGTGCAGCTGTGCAGAATGTTCCAATTGGTTGCAAATAAAGTCATCCAGGATCGCCGAGTCATTGAACTTTTTCCGACAAAATACGCTTCGGATGTCTTTCGCTTATTTGTAAAACGTGATTAATATTAAGAGCTGATTTTATGTCTTTGTATTTCAAGCCAACTTCAAAGTAAAATTAAATTAAACTTGGCCACGGGTGAAAACGCTCCATCTTCGTTGCTTTCATTTAGCAAGATTAGGAAAATGACCCGAAGTACATAACACGCATTTAAAAAACAAGCATTGCCACAGAAAGTTTTCGTGATCACGCCAATTTGGCGTGATCAGGGCAAACTTTGTGAAGGAACGCAAAGTTATTTTGTCCTTCCATGTCACCTTCGTGGCTACGTAAGATATCACAAAGGGGTGTGTTTGTGACTTATTCTTACAGAAATCAGCAAGATGTGTGAATTCCTGACAGGCTGGATTAAACTAGTCGATGGGTGGTAGGCCATTTGTTGCTGCACTCTGTGTAGAATTCAACTTTAAATCAGTCATATCACCATTTGTCCCACCACAGGCAAAATTCACACAAGCATCCCTACAAAAGACAAGAGTCTTGTTCAGGTTAGCCTTTTTTTTTTTTGAAGATCCAAGTGTCAGATCAACAAGTTACATCATCGTAGTCCTTAACAGACTAATGCAAAGTAGCTTGCAAAAATGACTCTTCATCAATACAGACTTCTAAAACAAACCTTGAGTATAGAAAAAGAGGTGAAGTAAAGCTACAGAAGAACCAGTAAAGTCCACAAGCAGAGAACCATCAGAAAAACAATATCGCTCTGTCAAGAGTACACAACGTCTTTCTTCTTCGGCTCAATGGTGGACAAACTGTTTAGCAAGCAGCATAAATACCAGTTTTTCAGAGGGACAGCAAGACGAAATACAGAGGAATAAAAATGTAAATGTATTCGGGAACTGTTACATTTGTAAATACTGAAGACAAACATGTAGTCAACAATAGCAGTCTTTTGACATCGAAAAGTATGTTTTTGTAAGCCTGAAATAAAGAAAAGCACATGGGGTAGGTACTTAACGTGATTTAAAACATTCGATGCAAGGTTCAGTTCTTGCCATTGGGTTTCAGTACAATTTCACAGTCATGTCTGCTCTCTGGATGTACAAAATATTTCCTTCACATTTACATGGAAATTGTGTCATTAAACTCCCGTTAACATCAAATACATTTCCACTGTGTGGTGCAAGCATATCCTATTGATTCAAATCTGTAAGATGTTACCAAGTATGCAAAGTCAGTCATTCTCATGCTGTAAACGTTCAACAATCAAAGACAAAGCAGAAAAGTCAGTCTAAACGTTATGTTTTAGAAATTCAAATTACTCCAACTTGGTCTACAATATAGGGAATGGTGCAGCTTCTTATAAAATTATTGTTGCCTACAAGGGCGAAACTATTGCTAATAAAAAAAAGTCAACTTAACATGCTCTATATTGTATGAGAATTTTTACAAAATAAAGAAAACTAAAGTGCAACCACAAATGCAAACCACACACAAAAGGAATAAAAACGCAAATAGAAATCAATACTAAAATTGTTGTGACGCAGTATCAACATTTCATTTGAATACGTGCACTATGGAGAGTTTGTGTCTTGCGGCCTGTCATGTGGCGCTTACATCACCTCAAGGCCTGACACATTTGTACACTGACATGAAGCCTAGTTTGATATACTGTACGTACGTCAAGTTCAAGAAAAGGGTTCAATCAAAACGATGAAGTGTACTTCTGTTTTTAAAAGCAAGATTTCAGTTTGCGTAGAGTTGCTTTTGATTGTGACAAGATTGTCAATACATTCTCTTATCAAGCATAAAAGTTATATTCAAGGCTATCGGTTTCCCTACAAAATCTGCATTTAGGTTGGGAGCAGTCAACACGCATTAAGAGGAATAAAATGACTGGACTTCAGACTGGTGAAGAACACAGCATCGTATAACATGAAGGAAAAAACCCAAAACAAACTAAAACAATCTGGCTCATTTTTCCATCAACATCATCTGGCAGTAAAAATAAAAAATAAAATCATATACGTATACCAAAGATTCACAAAATGCCCAGCATTTGGAATATTCAAAATACCTAACAGAACTCCTTCAAAGGCTTAAAAAAGTAGAATATTGCTTTCCTGAACGCCATAACAGAAACACATGCAAGCATGGTCTTCAGACAAGTGTTAAATTACAAAAGGGAAAACTTTTTTTTTTTTTTTGCTAATGGAAAAGCAATCCCTCCAATTTTAACATGCTCAACAATGGTGCCAATATCCATTTTCTTTTTCAAAAGACAAAATAAGTACAAAATTAGTTTTCATGTTTGGGCAGTGATCAAAATTTGAATACTTGCATCATGCTTTCAGGCTGGTTCCGCATGTGGCCTTCTAGGGTTGCATGTCACTGTACTGAACATTTATACAAAAATAAGAACCTTTAGCACATTTGTTTTTCCTTTCCAAGTGATTGAAGCTATGTATGTGTTGAATCGAATACAGGTGACCAAAAAGTATGGCAATGTAAGGCAGAAAAGGAATTTGGAATGACACGTCTGTTATAAAATCCGCTGACAAAACGAAATGTGCTTTCAACGGTCACACCCAGACTCCTTTCCCAGTTTTAAAGCCATTACACCACCGAGTGAAAGGGACAGCAAAGACATAAAGGGTGACATAATCACCAAACACATTTTTGGTCCAATTTGTGGAATATCAACAATAAGACAAATGATTGAAAGTAGGCAGAACAGTACTGATGTCATATAAAATAATGACGTGCGCAAAAACCAAAGTAAAAAATGATGACATCATACAAGTATATTTGTCATTTGTGTTACTGAACCCTGAGCTAAATCAAAAATCTTGTATAAATATATGTATTTTAACAAGCTCATAGCAAAAATGTAACCTATTCAAAAGACCCGAGTACACCTCAAATTTGGCTTGAAGCAGGAAAATGGCTTCAAATGCAACAATTGTCACTGGTAACCTCGGGTGGACCTTTATGTAAATACTCTTTAATACTACCCAAAATGCCATCTGTACACACTCTCTAGCCAAAAGGTAGTAGCATTTAAAAAAGGGGGAAAAATATATACACACACACACACACACATCTGAAACCCACTACTTTCCCAAATGTGTTTCTTTCATTGTCAAGGCTTGATTTCCACTTACTATAAACATGTAAAGCCTAATAAAAATATGCAGGTGTGAATGAGAGAGAGATAGAGAGAGAGAAAGAGAAAGAAAAAAATTGCCCCAACCTTCAGTAAGTGCCCTTTAAGTTTGTATGCATTGTAACTGTTACAGCCAAAGCCGGCCTTCTGAAAACCCTCGCTACACCCCTGCCAAAATAATAAATAAAATAAAATAATTAAAAAAATAAAAAATCAACATACAGGAAGTAAAACTGCTATCATGTGAGAAAGATACTTAGGAAAACCGTCTGGACAAAATACTAGCAAAAAGGTAAGGTGAACATCTCATTTGTAATTACTGAAATATAGTCCCTTTCAGTTTGAGAAAAAAAAAAAAAGCAACCATCTACACCAAGCATGCAGCACATAACAACCTCTCACCAGGAGAGATGTTTGTTGTTCCACAATCACAACTCTTTCAATTGTGTTTCTTAAGGAATGCATTGTTTGTGCTGTCGTGATCATTGGGGCTGAAATCAGGACAGATGCCGTTAGTTATTTTGGTGTTGGCAGTGTCATGCACGCTGTGATAAGACAGTCTCGACTTTGTTTGTTGATGTTGGCAGAAACCACTGAGAAGGCCTGTATTTTCGTGGTACAGGTATTCCTCTGCAAAGTCCACGTGTTCTTCCGCAAAGCTCCTGAAATTCTCTGTAGACACCACAAGAGGGGGACAAGACAAAAACAGCAGACAACAAAGGTTTCACAATGCTTTACTTTTACTTTTAAACCCAAATTAAACTCAAACATTCTGCAGTGATTCAGATTAGATTTCAAAGATGGTTTTTCTCACCAAATGTGATCTTTCCTGTGCCTTCACTGTCAATGGCGGCAAACAAGCAGGTTACATTGAGATGAGTCACTCCCAAAGCAGTCTTCAGAATAATTGCCAAGTCTGTCTCGGTGATAGCGCCATCCTCAGCCTCAAACATCTTAAAAGTCACATTGGATACAGTACGTGAGTTGATTGTCATGATCTGTTTTAACGTACTTGACTTGCTCTGTGGTTCCGAGACTAAAGGGGAAAAGGTGTTTTTTAGGTGCCTATTAAATTGAGTTGATCAAAAATACATTGATTTCAAAAAATTTGTGTTTTGAAAAACAGATTTTCACAATTTTACAGGACAAAGCTATAAAAATCGGTATGTTTTGTTACAAAGACGGAACAACAAAAGCCTCATGGATGTTGTTGGTAACTTACCTTGAAGGCCAAGTTCAGTGTTTCCAGACTGTCAGAAGGTCTGCATACAACAGACAAGGCTATCACATATTCTCTGATATCCACGCTATTATCTTCATGCTGGAAAAGCAAGAGTATCTTAAATTATTAAAACAAACACTCTGACTATGACCATGTCCATCCCTGTAATTATTTCATTGACACAAATGCCTTAAAAACATTAAAGGGGAAGGCAAGTAAAAAAATAAAAAAAATAAAAAAAAATTCTTTCCAATAATGTTGTATGCAACACCGCTAGTCTAAACACTTAATTTGGATTTCTATTGTATTTGATTTAAGCAGCAAAATTGTCTTGTTTTTATCCATCTCTGTTGAGAGCAAGTGGCAAAATGGCCGTCCCCTGAGATGGCTAAAAATGGCTGGATTATTCTGCTTCGTATTCTCAAACATAACATTATTAAGCAGATTGAGTTTGGATGAGTGGGGGCGCATAGACCATATTATTGCGAAGATTTTTTTTTGTTTTTTTTTACTTGACTTCCCCCCTCAATAAATAATTTTTGTCAACCAAACATATTCTTCAAACTTTACATCTTAAGAGAGCAAATGCTGACCTCATCAAAAAGGGAAAACGTATCTTGTAACATATCTGAAACGGGCACATCCAAGAACTGAGCAAAGTCATCCAAGCACAGCCTCTTTCCTTCCAGTTTTCTGGATCTGTTCCCATAATCCTGCAGCACTTTTTCTGGGTTTTGGGGTTTAAGCCTGTGACAGGAAAAAAATTATCACGAATAGTTTGCTCAATAACATTAGGAAATGCAACGAGCACAGAATTTTGCGAGTCAGATTGAAAATGTAGAACTTCATTTTATAACCTTACATATTTGAATCATTTGAGTATTGCTTCTAAATTATTGACAACAGCAGCAGCAACAACAACAAAGACCACTATAGCAGCAGTTTCTACGCTCAGTTTCCTGTCACGTGATGTTTGAATGACTTACCCTAGTCTCCTGACGAGTCTGGAAAACTCCAATAAGCAGGTGTCAACCGGCAGTCTCAACTGGCCTTCTGCCATGGCGAGCTGGCAGTCCTCAAACGAATAATCTGTGATAGGGACCCCAAGGGCTCTGTAACAGTCAAGACAGTAGTGTATGTCTTTAGTGCATGGACAACACAAAAACTACATTGCAGTGGTGATGAATGATTTAAAAAAAATAAAAAATAAAAAAAAGGTCAATTCGATAGTCAAGCAAAATCTTGCCACTCCTACAAATAAGATAAATATGTACACATCGCCCAATGTGTGAAGTTTAAATGTATTAAGGAACTTTCCATCCTGCTTGTTTGCATAATGCACAAGTGGTTAGCAAAACTGCTTCAGAGTTTCTGTTTTGGAGTTAAATTGAGGGTGCTCAGACTTCCTCCCAAATTCCAAAACCAAGCACATTAAACAGCCATCAGAAAGAAAAAACAAAAAATATATAACTACCGGGACATATATTTCTTTAGTGCTGTCACTAGCGAATATTTTTATTTATTACTCCATCGATGAACGCTATTTTGCATTAAAGTGTATTCAGGGCTGTGAAATGAGAAGAGAAAATCCGAGGAAAGTTAAGGGGGGGGGGGGGTTGTGTGTGCGTGTGTATATATATATATATATATACACACACACACACACACACACACACACACACACACACACACACACACACACAAGAAAGCACGTTATATTGCTTTGAATATGATCGTACTTGGATGACATCACTAACTACATTTATTAGTAGTTAGTTGGCTATCACTATATACTGGAAAATATTTTCAAAGAAACCTTCCCAACCTTGTTCAAAACTTACTTGGCCATGACATGCCTCACATTGATTGCAAAGAGAGCAGGGTTCTTTTTCTCTTCCTCAGAGGGAGTGTAAATGGGAAGGAACTGCAGAGGGAGACATCACAGCAATTTTTAAGGTAACTTGCCAGTCAACATCCACTTATATCCCCGATAATTATCTGGGATTGTGTACAGCAGGACATCAGGAACTATGAGATAGACACACTTACATACACTTACCTCTATTTCAAAGACATTGTGTAGCTGGCATAGTGTCAGCCACAAGATCTTAAACCTGGATTAAAAGAAATTGAACACAATGAATGAAAAGTGATTCAAAAGACTTGGTTTAAGTGTAGATGAAGGGAAAATATGCTCGTTGCTCGAGACCTTTTTTGATCAATATCCTAGAGGTAACAAGACTAACTTTACTGTTTATTTTTTTTGTAAATAAGTATTGTATCTGGTGAAAGCAAAAGACTTACGCTCCTGGGCCTTGCCATGTCCATGTGATTGTATCCTTCACAAGACAAAATAGCCACGTTAATGAAATAAACATGTTTTCCTCTATAACAGCATTTTAAATGTAGCTTTAGTTGTGAAATATCTGACAACACGTTCGGATGTTGTCATGTGTGAATTTTGAAATAGGTGTACGTTTCTGCCAAGAAAAACACAATCATACTTCCAAATGTTATGAACTAGTGTTCCAGTTAAGAATTTAATCATGCTGAATGAAGTCAACTGAAAACCATCAACACGTTACATCAGAATGATACTTGCGCTCTAATGCTTTGCCCAAAAATGGCCAGCAGGTGTCTCTAGAGTAAGACGTTAAAATATGACACAGAACTTGAAAGATTGACAGAATTTACTCATAGGTAGAGTGTCATTAAAGTGGCAGGCCACAACCAAAAATAACATCATGAGCAACATATTTGATATTTTAGATGTCCTTTAAGCTTAAAAATTAGCTATTTACTGTATAGATTAAAAAAATACCTTTTTAAAAACTATAGCAGAGTTTCCATATTAGTGTGCTAGAGTACGCAGAAAAGTGGTTAAGATTGACTGTGTCGTGTGTTGTATTATTTTCTTATTATGTTATTATGACTTCAAAATGGTGCCGCGAGAGTGGCTGCCTTGACAGCAGCTCCAATACTTTTTGTTCTTCTACTTTCTTCCCTTCATAACTTTGCTGCTGTAAATTGGGAATTTCTCCATTGGGAGACGAATAAAGGTTTTCTGATTCTTAAAATCATGCTGCTTTTGTTTTATTGAAGAAAGAAAAACCAACAGAGTGCATTTGCCCTCTTCTCATACAGTTTTTTGCAAACTTGTAGTTTCCTCATTTTGACGTTCAAGAACATCAAACAAATCCAAATATTAGACAAAGATAACCCAGGTAAACATAAAATAAAGTTTTAAACAGTGACTTTATTTATTTGGGGGTGGGGGGGGGGGACTATTCAAAGCTACCTTGCCCTGTGCAAATAAGTACTTAAGGGGAAACTATGCAAAAAAAAAAAAAAAAAAAGGGCAAATAAGTACTTAAGGGGAAACTATGCAAAAAAAAAAACATTCAAAAAAAGAGGGGACAGGGTCATTTTTGCCACTGTGTTTCAGTATGCACTGCATTGCATACTTCACAGTGTGTATGTGTGTGTGTGCATATACACACACACACACACACACACACACACACACACACACACCCACACACACACACACACACACACACACAATTGTAGTGTCGAGATAAGTTCTGTGCTAGGAAGTGCAGTCCCCGTGTTTCATGAAGCATGAAAAGTTTTAAGTGATAAAGCCACGGATTTATTTGTTTGCATTATTGTAATTTGATCTGACTTCTCGCCAAACTTGTTTGGTGAAGTTGTGACAGTGAACTCATAAAAGGCTGCAAGTCCAAGTTGTTTAGAAAATTAACGATTAACTGAAGTTGACAAATTTAATTTCAGATTAATATATGGTTCATTTGCATTTATTCTGGGGCAAGCCTAACCTATAAGAACATCAAATAATTTACGTATTATGAATGTGAACTTGTTTTTTAGAGTACAGGTTAATTTATAGCTTGATTGCTTAAAATACACTGGGAGAGGACCTTGAAAAATGAATTGTATCTTAGATTGTTATGTTGAGGAAAAAATTGCAATTGAATAATTGTTCTAAATCATTCAGCCCTCACACATACATAATCAAGACTGAAAGATTCATACCAGTTTATTTGGGTATCTCATCACAACCGGTTGCACTGGTACCGCTGGGATGAAGGCCCCTACAAGACCAAAAAAATGGTAAAAAATAAATAAATAAAGAAAAAAAGAGCATTCACATTTCAAAATGAAACTGAAAAACCACTGTTGACATTGTTCATGCTTTTTAATAAAAGAACTATTTCTGACTGAATCTGTGCTCACGTGTAGTTGCAAAGATACATCTGAACTGAGGCTGAAGAAGAAAAATGATGACCAGTTTACCTGGCTTAAAGGTGATTAGACAGGATCTATTAGTGCAAGTTCCCTCTGGAAAAATCATTATCTGCATGAAAGAAATAAAGACACCATGTAAAAAGTGGATACTGGAAAAAAGTTTTGAGAAAAAAACGTGCTGCAATCACATAATTAGAGTGATTAAGACCGAGAGAAGCAGACACACACACACACACACACACACACACACACACACACACACACACACACACAGAATACCTCCTAAAATGCATTTTTTTTTCGTCATAACCCTCAATGACAAAATTGAATCTCAAATAAATTAATTGAAATAGATTGTAAACTTATTTTTTTAGATTGTTTCATGACTGTCTTTTCTTACTGTGCAAACATGAGTTCTACTAAACATAATATTTTATTTTCTAATTATTATTTATGGCACACTTTCTCCCACAACATAAACACAACCCTGTTATCAAAACCTGTTCAGCATGGTAGAAGAGGAGGAAAGCAATGAATCACACGATACGCTGGACTTGACATCAAACAGTTTTTCCCGAAAGACTGGACAGAGCAAAAGTATGTCCTCTCCAAGTTTTCACATTTTTATAAAATAGGTTAGCCGTGATTGAATGTCTCACTCTACCTGATGCAATGCTGCAATTCATAAGATCAGAGAAGAAAATTCTTTTTTCATTATTTTTACCAAGCCAGCCCACAAAGAAAATGCCGGGGATTCTTTCAATCTCCGCTTTATAATTAATCCAAAAGGAAACTTTTTTTTTTCTTCAATTGAAGTCAAACAGCATCAGTGAACAGGTTGTGTTCAAATTTGGAGGCTCCACGAATGAGTGAACGTTTCTTCGCGCTCTGAAACTGGAGCCTTCATATGGATGTTCAGTTTAAAACATCAACAGTGATTGTGAATAAACTTAATTTGGCGGCTTTTGAGACACATTCTTTTACCTGTGGCCATTCCCCTCCAGAGTGGGCTCTGCGTTTGATCTCTTCCACCGTCTTCTTTCTTGAGTCCTGATCTGATCGTGATACGAACACCGGCCTGATGTACTTTATCAAAGCTGGGGGAACGACAGATCCACAGCAGAGAACGTAAATAATTTCTCGCAAGACTCACCTCTTAATCACATTGACAACAGTGAGATGAGAAGAATATACTTAAACTAACAATTTCATAACTGTAAAACACTGGTTTCATCCTACTTTCCAAAACCATGCATATTAAACATTTATAAAATAGAATCTCTTTAGTCTTTTTCAGCCTATTTGACATGGGAATAATACAAAATGCGACAGAACAATTATGCAAAATAATGTTGTTGCATCCCCCCCCCCACACACACACACACACACACACACACAAATTTGCAAGTGATATATCAGAAAAACACTCCCTTCTTCATCTAGATGTCACGCCTCTCAGCCCAGCCCACCGATATGGCCCTCAGTGGGCACCTGGAGGCCAAAACATCTCTCGGTACAAACAATGGATACCTTGTTAATTCAATGGGTAGATTTCGCATGAAGTGAGACACTGTAACAAACTCAAGGACATCTTATCGTGCTGCCTACTCGAAGTTGAACCTTCCCGTCTGTACTATCAGCTGACAAGGCCTCAGCTAAATTCAGCTCAAGCATACAACAAAATGAAACTTTAAACATGATAACTTTGAGTTTGTCGATACTCTATCAAATGTTTACTACAATTAAAAAATAAAAAAATTAAAATATTTTGCTCCAGTAAAGTAGTGATCATGGGATGCACTGTAACAAGGCATAGGCTTAATCAGCACGAGTTTATTTAAGAAACAACAAACCATGAGCTGCACTTTGTGAAAGGGAATGGGCACTCAGACAAGAGTCATTTTCAAAAGCAATACGCTACTTATGTGTTTGCAAACACCATCGGCTGTGTTCTAACTGGCGGTGATAGGATAGATAATTGACTAATGAATTAGGAAAAAAATATATATACTGTATATGTACGCATCTTACTACTCAGAAAACTGAGGTCTTTTGGGGGTCAGGGGTCACTCCTTAAGACCTTCTATGACTCTGTGGTGGCTTCAGTGATCCATTATGGCTTAGTCTGCTGGTCAGGGAGCATCTCAGCCTGGGACAGAGAGAGACGGAACCGACTGGTCAGGAGGGCCAGTTCTGTCCTGGGCTGCTCCCTGGACACTCTGGAGAAGGTGGGCAACAGGAGGATGCTAGATAAGCTAACAGTTATGATGGACATACCATCCCAGCCTCTCCAGGCCACCCTGAAAGCACTGGGCAGCTCCTTCAGCCGGAGACTGACACATCCGCGCTGCAAGAAGGAGAGGTACCGCCGCTCGTTCCTGCCGACTGCTGTCAGGCTCCTGAATAAATGCACCTGAAAACCTGGACTCTCCCCCACTCACCCATGGTAAATAGCACAGCCACCTTATGCAGCACAGACACAGTTGCATATATGCTTGTATCTTATATTTTGTATTTTTATACTGCATTCTGTACTGTGTACAGTTCATATATTTTTTTATTATTTTGCGCATGCAAATACTTGTTTTCTACTTTTTTTCTACTACTTCCCTCCGAAATGTGCTGCTGTACATTGCACGTCTCCATTGTGAGACAATAAAGGTTTTTCTTATCTTATCAGCCAAGTGGCTTGTAGTCACACATTCCCCGTGTTTCTGTTTCCAAGCTCCACCAGCTCCACTTTGTAAGAGATACTTAAAAGTTTATTTTAATACCTTTTCTAGTTTAATGTGACCCAAAACCTTGGGCATCTTTTATTCTGAAAATAATGAGAGTGATAGTCACTTACTTCCCCACAAGGGTATATCCTTGCTCTCAGCTTTCATGACAATAGAGGCCATTGTCATGGTGACTGGGATGGCATCAAAATAGGAAGAGTGGGGTGCCAGAGTGAGAATGGGCGCTTCGGCAGGTAATGCCCTCTGCCCTTTAACAGTCATCCAATGGAAGCCACCCGCAAACCACATGACCCGCATGATGATCTTCAAAATGATGTCGACCAGTCTGAAACAAACAGGATTCAGGTTTGAGATCTGAGTTCAATGACATTCTCGGCAGACAAATATCTGATCAAATGTATGAAACTGTCAACGGGTACAGCAAAACATAATTTATTGTTACACTGTTACATCAGGGTCATCACTCTCAATGGAACAGTAATAGCTCATTTATTCAAAGTTGTCTCCTCTCAAGGTACACCGACTAAGACACTCAACAGTGTTTTAAAATCATTTTCACAATTTTTCAAGTTTGGCTTAAATTTAGCTGTGGTCACTGGAAGCTGCTCTTATGCATCTATGTCAGTCATGTTTGAAATGCGACACTGCACACAGGCTGGTCTCTAGTTGGATGCAGGCTAAAAAGCCGTTAGATCAGCAATGGAAGACATTGATCGATGTGCCGATCACGTTTTTCCATTGAAATCGGCTGATCACGAATGGTGGCCAATCGATCAGAAGCACCACTACAAAGAAACAAACATACCACAAAAAATGATCCCCAAAAATTGGAATATAATTTCAGTTATTCTCAGATCTCTCCATAACTTGCACAAACAACCCATGCTAAACTTAGCCCCTTTCCGAGATATAATGCTTTTCTCGCAGTCAAGATCTATCACTTCAACATACTTTGTGAGACGAATCTCTATTTCAACAGGGAATCGGGGGCATCTTAGGGCATTACAGAAAGAGCACGAAAAAAACCCATACAAATGGGTCTAGTCATTGTTGTGATGAGCTGTCATTGCTGGACAGCTCTGGGGCGCTTGTGTTTTTTTTTGCGCCTGTAATGGGCAGCATTTTACACAGCCCCGCTTTGTTCAGCGGAGAGATCGGTGCTGTTGGACGGTCTGCGGCTGGATGGATGCAAGGCTTGAGGAGCCGACGATGAGAAGAAAGGAGCGTCAGCGCAGAGCACCGATGCGGATGTGGAACTAGGAGTCGCGACTTAAGAGTTGAAGCGGATTACGTGGGACAGAAGATGTGAGCCAATCTCCTTTCGTCAATGGACGCTACAGCTTCGTGTTTGCTTTCAAAACTTAGCTTGTAGCAGACGTGTGCACATTTTCAGCATGACGTCTCTGATCCACTGGTGAAAGCACACTTTGATCCTCTCCTCTTTCATCTACAACTGCTTCAAACAACAAAGTGTATGCAGGAAAAGTGATTAAGATTGCACGACTGTCTGTGTCTTATGTGTTGTATTGTCTTATTTTGACTTCAAGATGGCGTCGCGAGAGTGGCTGCCTTACCAGCAGCTCCTATATTTTGTTCTTCTACTTCTTCCTTTCATAACTTTGCTGCTGTGAATTGGGAATTTCTCCATTGCGAGACTAATAAAGAATTTCTTATCTTATCTGGTCCAAAGGAATTCTGTCATCGAAAAAAGACAGTGGATGTTGTGATAATGCAAACAAAACCATTTTAAGCAAGCACTATTCAGGCTAAACAGTGCGAAAGCCCGATCTTTGTCACTGGTTGCTGGCCAGCTGGAGATTAGTGGTGCTTGACTCTGCTGCACGCGTCAACGTACGGCGAACAAAGCAGAGGTGGGCATCAGGGAAATGAGCCCAAAATTCCCTGACCGCAGAAACCGGCCATTGGCTCAAGACGAGAAGGCTGCCTCGCCACCGAGGAGTGCCTCTCTGGCAGCCGTGAAAGTGTGTGCATCGCTGGGAAGGAACCAGAGCTCTCTCACTCAACAGGTATGTGTGTAGCTGCCGCTCGATAAGTCATACAATAATGTGCATTTTGAGCGACTGAACTGTTGTTTTCCGTGTTTCCCTGCATTGGTGTGCTCACATTTTTCATCTACAGTACTGAAGATGATGTAGAAAAGGGGCCCTAGTTTGAAATTTCTCAAAAGGTCAAGTGCACTCTCTATAAGACTTGGTCAACATTTTCCAAATGTGTAGTTGACAAACCCCAATCAAAAACTTTTTTTCTGCATAAAATGTTATCCTTAACGTTAAAGAAAACGGGAAGAAAATGTCGGCAAATTACAACAAAGACTAATATTTTTAGTCTGTAACAAAACATTTTTAAGTGTATCGGTTTGCCTGAAATTCAAAGAAATATAAAATCTCTAAACATTTTTGACTGACTAATTGAACCATGATGAAAATACAGTTTTATCAAATCAAATAATAAATTCAAATTGATCAGCAACTTTGAGTCCTGATCACAATATTTAAAACACTGTGACCTGCAACACCAAAATTGGAGCAGGTTACAAGCTCGTAAAAGATGAGAGTGGATACTCAGCAGTCAGCATGCTGCATTTGTTGTCTCACTGCCAGGTTCCTCCATCTTGCATTACATTTTGATCAATACAATTGATAGGACAATGGACACTCATATTGGAGTGTTTACGTATTTGTAACGTGTAGATAAATATGTTAAATCAACATGATTTCTTTTGATGATGAAAACCACTGCAGATTTTATAACCACCCACATCATTTTGCATTTCTCATTTAGTACCAAGATGTCAAAATCCACTGCGTGAACAGTACTGCAAATATTCACACACAGCATTACCTACCTCCTCCAGAGGCACTGGGGTTCAACAGCTGTCTCAGAGCGTCCTGCTGAGGCCAGAAACGCAAAAGGCCAGGCGAGCAGCATCATAAATGCAGCTATGAGTAGACGGATGGGGAATAGCGTGACTGTCATAACTGCGATCTGTAAACAATGACAGAAAAAATAGGGATAAATAACACACACCAAACACATTCAAGGTTAATCATGGTAAAATCTGACTGCAGAAGACACATCCGGGATGACCAAAAAGTTAGTTAAAAGCGCGGTTGTCAACTGTCATAGTTGTCACAAAGGTCTAAATATCAAAAAGAACAAAATTACACAAACATGCAAAAGTGAAACAAACGGAAAAAAATACCACATAAAATATTAAACATTTTTACAAAATGCAAAACTCATTTAAAAAGAACAAATCTATCAAAAATGATACTGACAGGAAGTCAGTGTTGTGTACTAAGTGTGTAGTTCAAAACCAGGCAAGAGGTTTGATGACGGTAAAATAGAGATGGGGGGTGGGGGGCTGAGACAATACAGTGACAGAATAGAAGTTCTTTTGACTGACTGGCCATTACATTGCCTCAGGAAGAGAGATGAAATGCTTAGTTTTACAGAGGTTCCCCTATTATTTTTTTAGCATGTGATAACGATATTTCTTTGTCATATAAATGAAAAAGCATTTTGGATCAAGTAATGCCTCCTTTCTTGCAGCCACAACCAAACTGTTTGTATTTATTTATTTACTTTATTTAAAAGGAGAGAAGGTATGTTAATGAACATTTACTTGCAAATATCCCAGATTATATCCACTGGCCATTTGGCTGGTTTCCATCTGTAGTCCCTTGGCATATTGTAACATTTTAAATACAGTATATGTACTGTTTACTGAGCATCAACAGAAGTATTCTCTGGTGAAATTGTATTGATGGACAGGAAATGCAGAAATAAGTCTGTAGTAATGAGAAATACATATTTTTATACTTCTTCCTGATGTCGTATTTTGTCAACAATTACCTTGGCAGGATTTGATGACAGTTAAACCATACAAGTGAATGTGGTTTTAAGTAAAATTAAGACCAGTCCACACGTTACCAATAAATATTCCTCAGTGGTACAACCTGCAAATAGGCATAACATACCAGTTTGAATGAGAACATTGTTTGTGTCACAAAAGACTGCAAAGCTGCCCATTTTACCCTGAGCAACATGACGCTGAGTAGTTTACACCTTCGACATACCCTCTTTCCCTTTGAACTGAAATGCTGTGCGTAATCTGTCACCGTCCCAAAATGTACAACACGTGTTGAATGGGCTGTGAGAAGCAGCAAAGTAGAAATAACGGTCTACTGTAACGTAGAAAACGACACTGTCTCAAGTAATCAATTGGTCATGCTCTGATTGAAACTCTTAATGTTACTGAATCGAACAACGGTGTTTTCAACAACCAAAACATTAGTTTAAGGCCCATCATGGAGGGATGGCCATGCTTATTTAATCGTGACGTTGTTTCATGCTTTTAAGATTCATTTACTGACTTTGTTCACCCTTTTTGTCACTTTTGTTCAGCACAATGCTAGTGAGGTATTATTCAAATGGCTCATTTATTTACAACATTTAAACGCCGGCAAAGAAGGCAGATGAGAGACTGCAATATTTAAGTAGCTAATGCTAACGACTGGCTAGTCCTCGCTCAGCTGACTGGGATACACGCATAAAAGGCAAAAACGTCATTAATAGCACTGACAACCTTGCCAGTTTTTTTTTTAAACGCAAACAGGTCACCCCGGTCCATTGATACGAATGCATGCATTTGTAACAGTTACCTTTGCCTTTTCCATTCGGGTGAATTTCAAGACATGTACAAAAGGGTTTCTGAACGGAGGCGCTTGGTCCATCTTCTTCCCATCAGGCTCCATCGCACATTGACTCCGAGTCCGTAACCTCATCCCGACAAGTCTTTGTCAAGGCTACCCTACGTATTCAAACACAAACGTAATAATGACTCAAAATTGAGTCTTTCCACGCGCAACGCAGCTTTTGCCCAATCTGTATCGTGGTCTGCAGCTAATTACGGCGACAGTGCGTGGCTGTTAACGTTATCTCTCTTTATCCGGCACCATGGAGGGATAATGGTTAGCTCAGGGATTAGGCGGAGTTATTTGAAGTAGCCTTTATCTTTACGTCAAGACGCCTTCTTTCATAGCGCGGTGCGCAAAGCAATCCGATAGCTCGGGATGCTAATGGAGCCACAATTCCGTTGCCCTGCCTTTGCGCACGCGCAAAACGCGTCCAACCCAAATTCAGGATGAAAACAGCAGTACAGTACTGTACATAAATATTTCAGGTAATCAAGTTCCAACAAATGTTTTCGTTGACGTATTTACGTTTTGAATGCAGGTACAAAACAATCACCCAATGTTATTTAATATTTACTTGCAGTTATCCACTTTGCCTGTATATTATAGTAGGCCTATTGCTGGTAGGTTCGCCACCCAAAATATTTGTAAAACATTTTTGGCTCCACGAACGTTCATTTTAAAATCCATGTTGTTAAAATACGTGTGGTGCGCGGCTTGCGTCGGTGTGCTGAAGTGAACCGGTTACATACGGGAGGCAATAAAGAGGATCATAGAGGTTTTGCGATTTATATTTAGAGGCGGCACATCTCTCGAGCCTAATGTGAACATATGGACTGTACGGTACTTCGAAACTGCTTTCCCTTGTCCCCTTGATAGTGATGCACCAATCGGTCGCAAGCTCGACAACACAATAATTGTAACTAATCCTTTGCTTCCCTCTCGTGGCAATAAGCTCTCGTTACATCTCTACATACACTATTTTGCACTGCGATAATGGAGGAGGAGCAACCCTTTGTGGTCGTCCCCCGGTGTGTGTGTGTGTATGTGTGTGTGTGTGTGTGTGTGTGTCTCTCTCTCTCTCTCTCTCTCTCTCTCTCTCTCTCTCTCTCTCTCTCTCTCTCTTTCCCTCTCTCTCTCTCTCTCTCTCCCTCCCTCTCCCCCCGTCTGTCTGTCCGTCCCTCTTTCTCTCACAATCCATCTATCAATCTAAAGGCAATGTCAAAAATAACTAACCAAATAAATACATGCGTACATTAATAAATACATAAATAATGTATTTAATGACTACAGCATCTCATCAAAACAAGAGACTGTGATTTGTGGAGTGTGGTGTGACTAATTTACTTCATGCAGGAAGTTGTTCAATTAAATGAGTCAAACAATCACCATCATCATATGTTCACATGTTTCTTTTGTTAGTTTTTTTGGTAATTGCAAATACTGTACTCAAGGAATCAATGCTCCAACACCCACACAAGCTGCACACACTCCTCCCTTTTTGTTTTTGTCGAGTATGCTGTCCAAATGCGCCGTAGGCTGACGTATGAGGGAGTGACATTTGCATTTGACAGGAATATCACATCAGCCATGGTTAATACTGCAGAGGATGGCGTGATTAAAAAAAAAAAAAACAGCAGAAAAGCTTTCCCACATTCCACCCAGACCCTCCCCCACTTCCCTTTTCTTCAATCTCATAGCAGAGGTGCTTAAATTAAAAAGGAAGAAATGCAATTTAAAGACATGGGGTAAACAATCACAAAACACTTGTTTCTGGGGGAGACACAATTTGCTGGTGCCTTGTCCAATTTCTTATGGCCTGGAGGGCTGCTACCGCACTTTAACACCTGGTTGTACGCTTCTGATTAAAATTGTAATGTCAGTGTTGAATCAATCCATATGACATTTTCGAAATACACAAGTATCAGGACATTTTATACAAACAGCATTTTTTTTCCCCATTTGGTAACAGCAAGGTGACTCACACTGTGTTTCAACACCATGCCTTCCAACTGTTTTGTGGGGGGAAAGGGAAGTTTCAATATCCCAGACAAGTATAAATATGTCACTATCATTGTTGTATAGTGTTTATGCCAAAGCTGCATGTAGGTGCACTGCAGAGAGCCTATAACAGCACAAATAACAATTTGCGTTTCTGCTTTGGACATCATTTTAGCAGAAAGACCAATAATGTGTCCGTTCCCTTTAACCCGAAATGTCACAAAAACAAAACAAAATTGTGGACTTCCATTCCGATTACAGCTTCTGGACATTTGCTTACCACTTGCCTTCAAAGCATATTCAGAAAATGTAAAGGCTAAATGTGCTAGTACTATTTTAAGGAGTACAGGAATACATGAATAATAAGATGAAAAAGACAGCTCAACAAACACATACAATTCAGTGCATCTAAGTATGTTAAACATATTTTGATGGGAACAGTCGTATGAGTCTATGTTGCCATATAATGACAAAGAGAACGGGACAAAATGAAACTGAGAGAGGATGTCCAGGTTTTTCAACCACTATTAAACCGGAATAACCCCTCAGGCCAAACATCTGAGGCTGAGTGACATACAGACCATTGTTTGCTTTGCACCACAGTAATGTTTTACTAGCCCTTGCGCCCTTGTCAATCAATGGCCGCTGTGTTCCGAAACATATTCAACACACAGAAAAAACACATTGGCTTGAGGAAATGGATTGTGCACATGATTGGCAGGCGAGCCGGTGGATGTGTCAATCAACTAAAGCTCTTTGTTTTTGCTCCTGTCCCCACTCCCCAGCCTCTAAGTCCAAGAGGTTTACGATTGTCATTTTTGCCTCACTAAACAAAACATTTACACATATCCAGTATATGTGTTAATATTTTGTGCATTTGACTTTTAGTTTTGTCTTGAATAAGTTGTTATTTTGTTACATGTATTAAATTGCATCAATTTAATGAGGAACATTGGTTCATATACTATTCTACAGAGGTGGGGGACTCGAGTCATGTAACTTGGACTCATGTTGACTGGAGTTACTGATTTTATGACTTGCGACTTGCTTGGCAAGCATTTCTGAAAGACTTGACTTTGACTTGGCATCATGAGACTCAACTTAACTTTGACTTAAGCTCTATTTTCGTGCCCAGTGCAAGATTCGTGCAAAGTGCAGTCTTACTGTGCGCATGGGTGGAGTTTTCTTTCTATTAGTATTTTCCTAGACTTTGCACAGGTACAGGTAAAATTGCACCATTGTGGGATGGAACAAGCTTTTTCCCAGTCAATTGTAGTGTCAACCCTCATTGGCATTAAAATCAGGGCTGACGGAGTACACGCCCTGCTTGAACTTGCAGAAACAAAAATTGACTTACTGGCATCTGTGCATGACAGTGGCATCCGAAAAGTGCATTTAAACAGGGTAAACTGCAAGATCTCCCCTTGCGGATGATGTCATCAGCCACACATGTGACATGGGCAGTTGAAAGCCACCTTGCACTCACGACCGTTCGTCCATATGTGTTATAGATATGATAATGATTACAATTCATTCAATGAATTAATTTCTACAATGATTCAGAGGGTTTGTCCCATGTTGTTGTCATAATTATGAATAAAATACGATCATATCCACCACAAACGTCCGCGGAGCACCGGATCTGTCTGCCTGTGCCTTGATCAAATACATCAAAATCACGTTAACACCACCTGTGCCACCATTTAGTGCTGCTTTTCAGTCGTCTAAAATGTTGTTTACTTTTTTTTCACTAAATTGGTAGGTTTGCTGGAGTAGTGTAATAGAAAACACATTGTTCCTGTTAGATTAGGCCTCTGCAGCACAAAGTGAATTGAGTAAGGCCATGGTGTCGTTTTTTTTCCTGGCTCTTCTTATCAACATGAATTCTGGCAAAAACAAACTCAGAAACATTTAAGGCCATAAAGTCACACATTGTCACGTGGACTAAGCAGTGTCGCCAGGTGCATCAGGGTCATGGTGACTCCATGCGTGAGATGCATCATTGTCCCAAACACACTGGGCTTGCCACAGCACCAAAATGAAGATGCATATATTTTTACGCCAAGCCGACAGGCGCCAGTCCAACAATTTGAAATTTGAAAGGAGTCCAAAAAGACAGCGACTGGGTCATGAAGCATCTTGAGGCTTTATTTTCCCATCATTAATTGAAAGTTTACTTTTATTCATTAGGTCCAACATACAGTGCTGGCACGATGCTCTCAATCTATTAATGATCCATTCATTATTTGATTATCGAGTCACACTGTATATAGTGGGTCCAGATTTCACATGGTCATGGTGGGTAGGTTACCATTACTAAACTCAAATCCACCATTTCATTCTAACGTTTGAAATCTGAGAGAACTGCCTGTCTCTTTGCTGGCATCAAATCTAAGCAGCTTCTTTCTGTTTTGTTCTTGCCGGCTCCTCGTCCTTTCTTCCGAAATGATCTGTCCAGGTGCCATGCCATTTCCCAGCTCAGACATGAATCTGTGCACCATATCAATCATTTGAAAGAGGAAGCCCCTTTTCAGATCAAGTTTGGAAGACACCCTCCATCATCCGCTGTGTTCCGACGGGAGATGAAGGGGCTTCTGCTTGGAGAGCTACTTTGTAACTCAAGCCACATGTTGGGCAGGACACAGACAGTTGTAAGACAGGAAAGATCTTTGTGGCAAACACAAGTGCTTGGCTGTCCTTGTGCATGCCCGTCTCTCAGCACTGCTTGCTTTGCTGGATTTGGGCACCCGTACAGCTGTACAACTGTAATAGTCCACTGGTAAACCCAAATACCTTACAAAGGAAAGTGATGTGTGAAGAAGGATTATCAAGGTCTCAATATAGTCTTGCTATGAGATTGTGTTGGACAGGAACTTTCCGTCTTACACAAATGACTGAGCAAGGTCACAATTTTTAATAACTAACTGAAACTATATTTTATGTTTAGAAACCCCCCAAAAAAACTGTAATTATAGTGAAAATTTTGTTTTCATCTTTTTCAATTAATTTAATATTGTACATGAGCCATTGGATTATTCTTGGATTATAGCCTTTGATTATAAATGTATCTGTCGTTTGGGAGTTGCTTACTGTGTGTCGTCATCTAGCAGCAGCCAATAAAAAATCACCACCAGATGATGCCGTTCCTTGTTGGCGAGCTTGCATTTTTGTTGTTTTCATCACTTAACTTAATTTCCTATCAACATTGCTGTCAAATGTTCATAAGAGCACAACTCAACAAACGTGTGTTGAAATTGTCAAGGTGGAAAACGGCTTCGTTAGGTAGATAAAAGATGTAGAGCTATAAGAAACAGATATGGACAAATACAAGTAGTCACGTTATGTAATCTTCTAATCATGTGTATCACATCATGACATACGTTTAACTGTTTCTTGGAAACTTGGAGCACGCATATGCATGCACACGCACACA